TAGCGCCGGAGCGACGTGATCGCTCCGACACTGGTTCATCGCGATGCAATCGTAGGGTCTGACCGACATCTAAACGTGAAACTTTTTTCAGACCTTCGTAAACCCAGAAAAATTAAAAAGTATGCATTGAAAAATCGCAGAACACTTTCTAGTTCACTTGAATCGAAAATAGAAACACCATAGCACTAACTATTAACACCCACCTGGGTAAGAACCCACTGAACGGCATCAGGGACTGTTCATTCATTCGATATCGCAATGACATTTGAGTGTGCGCTGAGACAGTATTTTGACCCTTGTATGGAATCAGCGGACCGATTGGGAGGGACAGAAAGTTAGATGGCTCAGGTGTACCTGGGGAAGGGGAAAGGGCTTTACGGACTATATTTGAACTTTTCTCAATGGTCCTGTGCGAACAGCTACGGTACAACGATTAGGGCGCATGCATAGTAAGTCGTAGGATCGTAACGATCGCTCAGCGTTAGATACGTATCGATCGTCGAATCTCAGGCAATTCTGACGATCGATACGCATCCAATGCTGTGCGACCGTTACGATCGACGACCGACTATGCAAGCGCCCATAGAGACTGTCGCCAGGCTCCGCTCAAAATCTCAAGGAGGAAGGTGAGCGGCCGCAGGCGAGAGCATCAGTCTGAAGCAGTTTAAAGGACCGAGTCAAGTAGTTACTAGTCGGCGCGTTACGCCTGAACCACCGACATTATTATTTCCATTCTCATTCGGGTCCCATGCACATGCGAAAACGTTCACTCACCTTGGACCACGCTTCCTTAATCAACAAAGAATTGGTAGCACTATGCCGGGAAAAAGGTATTGCACCGCAACCCTTATTACGCTTGTTCCGCACCTGTTACGAAAACCGAAACCATTCAAGTCCACACAATTCTCTGGTAATGTAAATGTGGGTTCCAAGCAATAAAAATTTGAAAAGGAAATGTTCAAGTCGAGCTGGATAGCATGATGATGTACAATTGTACCGGGTCCCGTGTTCTCAGTGTTACTTGTATTCTTTTTCGGTTTGCCTCCAAATAAAGGAAATATTTTCCCATCAGTGCACAAATTGGAATTCTGAGGGCTCCACGTTTATGCATCGTTAATGATTAGATCACAATGAGCAGCCGTTGACTCAACGAAAACATGGAACTCACCTTTGATGTGAAAATAACGTCTCTCAAGTGGATATTCATCCAAGAGTCACACGACTGCAGGTGGCCATTGTAAGTCTCTCCATTCTTCAGCTCAATAAGCATTGGATGGTTTTGAGCGGTGCGGAGCAATGAAAGTGGAAGCTGAAATCAACAAACGTGCAGAAACGAATGAAAAACTGTGACACTATAATGGTTACTATGTACCACTAGCGCTATGTATTTATTTGTGTTGGTATTATTTATTTATTAATAGAGCCAAATTATTGTATAAACTGTATATGTCAAACTTACTTACCACCATTGTAGATAGAAGGCTCTTCTAAAGTGATCAAAATGTAGGAAATCGTCAGGAGAGGGAAATTAACTCGTCAGTAACCAAAAAATTTTCGAAATCTGGAAACAATCGCAGATCTTGGTCGTCAATCGTGTTGCACTGTGTGCATTATTTCACCTTGCGTACACACACCATATCTCACGTCCGACTTGATGTAGCCGTGCGGAAGTGTCGCTTTTCACCTGCTTGAGCATCATCGCAAAGTCTAGTTATGGATCTATGGGGCGGCCACAGCTTGGCAATAAATATCAAAAGACAAGCAGATGTTCGCATTGAGCCAGCGGGAATTGTGGAGTGTGGAGTAATCCCGCTTCTTTCGCAGGGGTTTTGTGTGCGCAGGCAAAAGCGAAATGGTTCACGCACCCTGAAGCTTCGTCCCACTGCAAAATTGGATTCTGTAGGGGCGCAAAGTATTACAACTGTAACTCCAAGTACAGTAATTGACTTATTCACTTGAACGTTCCCCATTCCCCCTTCCCTCAACGACATTTGCGCCGACTACACCCTCTTTCAAAAAGAGAAGCGCGTCGGGTGCAGACCATACACCACAAGTGACGACGGCCTCCACAAAATGTAAATGTTTTCTGCCAATGAAATGATTAGCCTGTTGCAGTTGTATTCTATCAGTTGTCACTAATTACAACTATCATTTATCACTATGAATCACTAGTTACCAGGGGCCGGGTGCAGCAAGCCCCAACTAGGGGAGGGATCCCCAACCTTGGGGACATATCCCCAACCTTGGGGATATATCCCCAACCTTGGGGATATCCCCTAGTTGGGTGAGGGATTCATCCCCTAGTTGGGTGAGGGGATGGGTCCCCATCCCCTAGTTGGGGCTTGCTGCACCCAGACCCTGGTAACTAGTGATTCATAGTGATAGCTGATAGTTGTAATTAGTGACAACTGATAGAATACAACTGCAACAGGCTAATCATTTCATTGGCAGAAAACATTTACATTTTGTGGAGGCCGTCGTCACTTGTGGTGTGTGGTCTGCACTCGACGCGCTTCTGGTTTTCTGAACAGAGGGTACGTGTCATTCATTATATAGTCAGTGCAGTGCATCCAATCTGTAATTATCTGTGCACCCGGGTACCCGATAGGAGGCCCGTCGCGCGGCAAGAAGGCAGAGTCAGCGGACGAGTCGCAGCGCGTGCTGTGCGATGTAGGACGTACAATGGCACATTCTATTTAACTTGACGCGAAATCCCTACAGTACGCGCGGACTCGTCGCGCGACGGGCCTCTTGTCGGGTACCCCTGCGCACCCTATTTAGGTCGTTTTACACGGGAAGCGGGAGGTGAAGTCATTAATGGGAAACGCGGCTTTCTTCGATTACTATCGAACTACTCGCAACCGTTGATACTTCTGAGTGACAATGAGCATCACCGTCACAAATATTTTACAAGTATCATATTTGAACATTTATTACAAGTCATATTTACTTCCTTTCGCAGTGTTATTGTTAGGCTATTTCGCACTACGCGCTATTGCTTGTACTTCCAAATAGGTATTGATTTTACGCGCATGCAGCGACCCGTTCACTGTTAAAGTGTTGGCAGTATGAAATCAGAGACTGTTTGTGAAGTGTTTTAGTTGTTTGGACAATGATCTCATCTGATTTCTATCGCTCAAGTATAAAAGGTGATTACAGAGTCGGTTAGCCATTTTCTACTACTTTCTAGTTAAGAAGAAGCGTCCAACCATGCCGCCAAAGAAATCGTGAGAATCCTTTTTTCTAGGTCAAACCTCACTTCGTGCAGTGCTCAACTGGGAATCATGTATGCCCTCTCTTTGTGGCTGTGGGCCCTGCCCAGTGCTTTTAGGGTTTTATCGCTGTGCTGATAAGTTCAGCCCTTTTTAAGGTCCCATGCTCGAATTATGCACCCAATAGAACTAGTTACAGCTCCACCAGAAAGCCAAGCAGAATTTCGAAGCAATTCTGAAGGTGTCTGATGAATCAGCGCGCATCCCACTGCACTGCGCTGATGGCCATGTTGGGGCATCTCCATCCCCATATCTTCATCCTGGTTAACCCTTATATCGACCCTAGGGAGATTCAAGCACGACTGATCAGGGCGGAGTTCGATCCCACGAACTACGTTGAGGTGGTGTGGCCGAATAGCCCGTGTGCTGAAGAATCAACAACAAAATATTCAATCAAATGTCTCTGCTCAGGTCATAACTATTCTAGGTTGGGTGGAAAAGTGGAAAAGTTATTTCAAGGCATCTCCAATGTGTGGGGACAGTGAGTCTGTTTGCGTTCAATTCGTAATAGGTATCGATTACACACGCGTGAAATCCATTGTGGGGCGCTATCGCAATATACGGGGGCATCCTCTAAACTAAGTCTAGGAAGGGCAGGAAATCTAAGAAAGGTTCCAGGAAACTCGGGAGAGACATGGAAGATGGAATGGACACTTCAGTTGGTTACCGGAATGTCAACAAAAGATATGGTTCCATGCGATTTCAAAGGCGTTGCCACCACAATGCTCCCTTATCTTGCGATAGCGCCAAGGTTGTGGACAAAGAGCTGTCCAGTAATGTGAAAACAGTCACGATCTCGATAATGTGAAAACAGTCTCGTCTAATAGAGCCTACACGAAATAGCTCAACTGCTCAACTGTAATTTAGTCAACGAAAATGAGCGAAAGAAATTGTAGAGATTGTTGATTCCACCCAATATTCAGAGTGATAGGGCAGCGTTCAGAGTTGGCGATCGTGCATGCGATTAGGAGAGTAGGCGATTAGGCGGGAAGACTGCATGCGTATTGATTGGTTTGCTCCGCCCCCAGAGCGTTGTGGGCGAGAAGGCGAGCAGGCGAGTAGACGATTAGGCGATTCTCGTTACGCGATCGCTTCATGTGGGCGCGCAGCAACAAATCAATACGTGCCTTCTTAGCGCCCACTCGCCCCCTCGACTAAATCGCCTACTGCATACTCGCCTCAATGCCGCGCCTAATCACTAAATCGGCATTGTTACGATCGTTAACTATGAACGCACTCACGAGTCGTAGCGCGTGATGTGCGATGTATTACGTACAATGGAACATTCTATTTACCCTGACGCAAAATCCTCCTAACAGTTACGACGTGACGTCCCCTTCTTGTCGCGCGACGTCGCCTTCCTGGAGGTGCGGGGGGGGTACCGAGGCGATGGGCGGAGCAACGAACCAATACAAATCCTTCCCTTATCGCCTTACTGGCCTACTCGGCTAATCGCCTAATCGTCAGATCGCATGCACGATCGCCAACTCTGCATGCTGCCTGAACGACCGCTTCATTTGGTTAGCGCTCATGTAAGGACGGTGAAGGGAAAACAGAAATGTAATCGCAAAAATGTAGGTTTTGAAACTCCCAACGCAAGAGTTTCTACGGAGCGGGCGTGCCTGTGGTTCGCTGTTATGCTCTCTCTCCTGCTCTCTCTTCTTGGCGCGCTGTGTCTCCTCGTAGCAGCACTACTCTTCATCACCTCCACGTAGAAGCGTCTAAAATTTTATTTTCTTTCAGAGAGGTTTCTCGATGTCATGGTTCCTCGGGAGGGGCGTCGAGGGGTGACATGAAGGAAGTTGAGGCGACTATGTAAGATCTTAAGACTAATCCTTAGGGATGGCGAAGGGCTATTCTGGGGAGAGATATAGGCAACCATTGTCTTTTACCTGACGTTATTCCCATCCTTGGACTATGTGAGGCTCCTACTCACTCGAGTTGAGCCAGAGTGTTTCGTTAAATCCGTCCTGAATATTAGAGAAAAAATGTCTTATTGAAACCCCCCATCTGTAGACGCCCTTCGCGAGAAGACGCTGCGCAAGTAGATAATGTGAAGAGAACCAGGATTTGTACATGCTACTATTTGCTTAGCAGAGGAGATGGTTAGTCCTATGCTACTAGGGATTTTTGAATGCCTCCTTCAGGACATGAGCGCCAGTTTCTCTTGCTTTCTTCTTTTAGGTTTTAAAATATAGCACCAGTTGTCCATACTTTCATTTTTGAACTCTTATCCAGGTCTTCTAATCGTGCAATGAGCTATGTCGGAACTGATCAATCCTTTTTTTCATGGCCCTTCCGTTTTCTCATAAGCCCTCACTGCGTAGGCGAGGTTTAGATGCAAAAACAGGAAATGAATAAAACCGGAGAATTAGCTTATCTTAGTCTTCAACTTTGATATTTGTTCAAAAATCTCAAAGTTCATATGAGCGCGTCCTTTTTTATGCGTTGAAAAGAGTGGCGCAATCTAAAACGTGATAAGCACTTAGGGCTCTTGGTGTGGACAAACTGCAAACAATGATGCAGCCTGCGGAGACCGCAATAGGTAAGATAATTTTTGAGTTTCTGACAGGTTCAGGGTTTGCAGGCACTACTCGATATTCTGAGAACCCTCACACTTGCGGCGCCTTTCTGTGCCGGCACTTTCAACTAAAGAGTACCCCATGAACTGGATCTCAGACCTGGAATCAATTGAGAATCGACAGCTGCACGGCTAATGATCAATTGGTCCCTTGGGTTCGGATGCCGGACAGGGGCCCCTCGCGCGGCAAGAAGGCAGAGCCAGCGGACGAGTCGCAGCGCGTTTAGCTGTTCGATGTTAGGACGTACAAACAGTACTAATAAGTTAGCACAACATTTTAGTTAGAAGAGGACGCGAAATCACTACAGTCACCCTTTTGCCCCTCCTGTCGGGTACCCCTTAGATTTGGGCCACATATTGCACTTCTGCTCAAAATTTTAGAGAGTTGAGAAGTAAATGGTCTGCATATTAAGTCGCGAATCACAGCTGGAAGGACAACAAGCCATTTCAAATTTAACTCAGGGATGGTGGATTGCGTTACACGAAGAAGGAGAACACATGAAGAAAACGGCCCAGAACCCGAGAAATGGGACCCCTTCCTTGCCCCTTGACAAGCATTGATGCCGACTCTATATCGCTGTGCCCTCCTCCTCAACATCACGCTCTCTCTGCTATCTAATCAATCCCACGTATAGATCTGCGGCGAGTGATCAGCTGGTCGGTGGGCGGAGATCGCCAGACCCGCCAACTTTGAGGCATAATAGGTCGCCGAGGTCAAATTTTTCGATGCGAATTGCGCATCAGTTCGCACCCTCAGGAGGTCCGTGGGGTACTCAACTAGGTGAATTACTTCTTCCTCGACCTCCATTCTAATCGTAAAATCCTCCCTTTAAGGTCAACCCATTGCCTTTCCGAACATGAAATGCACCTTTTACACCGCACACATAGGGCACCAGGTAGGGTAAAGCGAGGGGGTTGAGCCTGACTTTTGAGTGCCACGGGTTCAACATGATGAGGCAGAAGCCATGTGGCCGGTGTCAAATCTGCATAAATTGTGCCAATTTTCGCGTAGCCTGAAAACCCCGTCACAGCAATAGTGTTCAAAAAATATATTACTGATGAGGCCAGCACATCTCATGGAAGTAGTGCGCAAAATCTTAAACCAGGTTCTATTGCCAATATGAGAAGGCAACAGAACCCGAGCTAAGATTTAACACACCACTTCGAGGGGTCGACTCGACTAAAAAATGCTCATTCTAGCCCGCCACCGCATTAAATATACTTATATCCAGATAATCCGAAAACCAATGAAAAAGAAGGGCGCGCCCGTAAGAGATAAGAAGTCGTCTAGAAAGAAAAAGAAAGAGAAACTAAACTGTGGATGATGCTGTGACGTGCCTGCCTGAAGGTGAACAACAACATTCACCGAAACGCGGACGGAGGAGGAGAGATAGAAACAGGGATCAGACTAAAGAGATGACAAGTTACAAGGTATGCGAACTGGAGGCGATAACATGTCACGATAATGGCTGTAGGCTCTAATTCAATGTAGGCTAAGCCAATTCGTTCATAAGGGCTCTTTTAGCTCAGGACGCTCATGTCATGGAGGGAGGAGGGAGGGGTTTAGGAGGTGGAAGGAGACATTCAAATGAGTGAGCCACTTGCAGTACTTGGGATTTACCCTTGGGGAGCCGAAGGGATTCTGAGAAAGGATGTGAGTCGTCAGTGTCTAATGTCACTTACCATCGACCCCGTTTCGAATCTTCCCCCCCCCTCTCGTCACGGCCACGAGTACTGGGCCTAGTATCCTCTTGTGTTACAAGCTGTGACTATTATAATAGCTGGGTTTCAAACAGACAGGGGGTGTAGAAGCTGAGTAATTCAAGTACAGAGTAAATACAGTGCTAAGATGGAGCGGGCCTAAGAAAACTAGGTCTGCACTAGAATTATACAGCTCAGCTCAAACCTGAATGGGATTAGGTGAGTCCTCCTAGGGTGAATACCGCTCGCAGTGGGTGGAGCTGCCACAGAGGGGCGGAACTTGTGAAGTAATCAACCCAATCGTGGAAGAAAGTTCGTGTGAAAGTTCAGCAGATGTACTCATTTTCAGACAAAAACATGTGAAGCCGCACCGACAACAGTGATGTTCAATCTACCGCCTAAAGGTGCACCTGGAGCACCTGGAGCACCTGGAGCGCCAGTATCACCTCCACCTCAACCAGGAGCTCCAGCTCAAGACAAGCCGCCACAACCAGGCGGTGAAAGTCAAAGTCCGAACCAGCCCCCAGGTGCAGGAGGGCAAGCTGCTGGTGGTCCACCAGGAACACCACAAGGACAGGCACAGCCGTCACCGCCACCACAAGTGCAACAAGCAGCACCACCACCACCAATGGAACGTCAACAACCCCAAGTGGCGCAAGTAGCTGCCAGTGGCATGAAGATGGTAGGGTGACTAACAATTTTGAACTTTCTGCCCACGTCTTCAAAGCTCGAACTTTCAAGGTGCAAAAATGGGTCCAACGCGCTTTGGATATGGGCGTGGATGCGTTGCGAACCGAGTACAGAAGTCTGGCTCGATACACACTTCCAGAAATGACGGTTGACGCGTTTAGAGCTAATCAAGAGTTCGGTAGGAACAGGTAAGCTTATGGTAACTTCAACCTAGTTGTAATTTATACAGAGTTATGTAGCTGGCTAGCCCATTTGAAGCCTCCATTCAATGTAGGCACCTCAGCAGACCCCAGGAAATCCACTGTCAGGCAACCTTCGTCATTTTTGATCATGCCAACTTCACGGGGCTCTTATCTCGCTTGAGGGAAGAAAATAGCCTTCCAAACCTAACAGAGGAAAGTTGTAGGCATAAGAGCATGCAAACATTGGTTGAGTTTGATGGATCAAAGATTAAAGGGGAAGACCACCCATGATATTCTAATAGCCGGCTTCACAAAAGCGATTATTCTCCTTAATATGGTGGGCCTTGTTCCCTATTGA